ACATTGGCAATACAAAGGAAGAGACTCTTGTATATAAGTGTCCACCAATCTCATTAGTACGAGGCCTTTTGGGAAGGATACCTAAGAGAATGCGATTGCATTATAAGGTCGCAATTGAACAGATCGAGCAAACTCAAGTAAAACAGCGGGAACTTGAGCCAAAACGGATAATATCGTACTAATGGAGCTGGCCGATTTCGACACATTATTTGATTGGACGAGAAACTCAGTTAAGCAAAACATGTGGTATTAGTATGCATTACACATAAGAATCCCAAATTGGAGACTTTACCTAGAACAACTTGCCACATGAAAAGAAATTACAATATACCATTTTTACTTATGTGGATCCATAACTTACATGGAAAGATAAATTATGCATTTTGAAATACGGTTGATTGGTTTCAAAAGCTTACACTCTTTCCTCATATTATTGGTTCAAATAATGAAAGTACATTTATTTGCTAGGTAGAATAGAAAGATATTGAATGCGACGTTTTGTTATGGAACCGCGCATCATCAGAAGTTGGCCACATTTGTTCCAAGCTCAGTTACTAACATACTGCGCATATTATTTGGCGAGGACCGCCACCGCCGTGTGCGTCGGATCTTGAATTACTTCGTTTAATCCAACCTTTGCTCACGGCAGCTATCCGACCATGCTCCTCACTCTTGATTCCAACTGAAACAAAGCCACACAGAATCCCCATTAATCAGTCAGTCAACGAAGTTAACGGTTATCATATTTACTACAACTAAGGTTGTATTCAAAATGCTTAAAAATGCCCAAGTCGAGCAAAAATGTAACTCACCAGACATGGCTGCGGGAAGTCGAGCTGCTTCCACCAGGACCATCTTATTGTTAGCCAGCGAGGAGAAGACGAGCAGGAGCAAAGAAATAATGATGTAAACAACACAAGAAGGAGCTCTGGTTCGATTAGCCATTGCCATTTCCCAGTGAGAGTAATGAATACCAAAGGAACGTTTATAATGTTGAGTGGATAGTTCACCAACCGTTGACCAAGACTCCGAAAACAGAACAGGCCAGCTGGGTCAACCAGGCATATAATAGTACTATCGCTCTGGATCCAGCTTTTCCCCGCAAGTAAGTAATTTCCTGGAGATGAACATAGGTTTTCAAAGGAATTATTTCAATTGATTATTTTGACATTTTTCCTATCACCACCACTGACCTCTTAGTTAACAGAGTCAAAATTAAAGAACACAAATGACATTTCAAAATTTGAAGATACAATTGTCACAGTGTACAAACTATGGGCTCTTAATTGACATTAGATTATATTGTTTAAATTACTGAAAATACATAAAATAAGGGAATAGATGATAAATACTTTAAAAAAATCTGAAAGAAATCTGCCATGGTGAAGTGATGTTTGTTTTCGAAGAACATTTACTAAATCCTGGTAAAAAAAGTACATATTTTGACATTCGAAATTATTCTACAAAATAAATTCAATTTAACCTAATCAAATCCAATGCAATTCAATTAGATATTCAACATTACACGCCAAAGAGCGTGGGCCAATTATCTAGTGGGTTATGTTATGGGTGGTTTGGATGCCTATTTGTCAAACCTGTTATACGACGCATTATCAAACAAATACCACATATCATAATATATGTCATTGGCATATGTAGGGCAGTAATATGTACAAATTTTTATATGCATTTTATTGTAATAGTGTGTTTAAAGTAATAAAATCAGTTACAAAATATTAAAAATGTAAAATTTAATATATAAATATGTACAGAGTTTTATAAATCATTTTAATAAAATATTGTGTCGTTACATATTGATTCTTGAACTCTTTGTTAGTGTTACGCCTAATTAAGGTAAGAGGAGCAGCCAAATAATGGTTATTGGAATAATTGGGGAAGAAGATAAACACAAAAAGTTGAACTAAAAAGGGATTATAGTTTGAAATTTATAAAACAGAACAAGGTCATAATTGGAACAAAAATACAATAACTTGTTATTTATATATATAATACTATCCCTCTCCCTCAGTATTCGTCAAATGAGAAGTTTATGGTATTTGAAAAATAACAGAAACCAAATGTTATATCTCTGTTTTCCAACCAAGCATTTTATTTTGGACCAAACGACTTAATCTTAATTCTAGTAAATAGAGTTCCATGACTAAGTTAAACTAGTATTAAAATTTTTATTATTACAAAAAGGTTTAAATTTCGAAATCAAATTGGTTTTATTTGAGCGATGTTAGAATATATATGGAAAGGGCATATAGTGCAAATAAATTTCGAACGTTTTTATGTACATTGAGTTTTCTTTAGATGATGAACTATTGAAAAAACTCAAAATAATGAGGCAGACACCATAATCTAACAATGAATTTTTAGGACTTTGCTACGGTGACATGCACTTTTCGGTCGATCTAATCTGTTGTTTCAGTGTAAAAACAGTTTCATGGTGCCTACTTTGGAGATTCATATCTTACAATTGGCTAGATGGAAATTGGAGATTAAAGGCTTGTTTTGAAGTTGAAGTGTCCCTCTACACATTAAAGTACTTGGGAGCTCAATAGAAAGTCCAGAAGACCATTTTTGAACCTGACCAAAAGGCTATGCCAAAGCTGGGAAACTGCCTAAAAATTGCTAAGTCTGGCAACGTGTTTGTCAAGCCTACTTTCGAGCTCAATTTGAGGAGCATGTATGCGAGTCAAGTCCAGGGGCCTCTAGTTCTACCACGTTAAATTACGTATTTTATTATACAAAGGCAAGACATTGGATGAAAGATTGAATATCTTTAAGGCTTCAAACAAAAGGCTCGAAGTTGCTACGAAGGCTGTTTTTCTGGCGGCTTGCTTGTGCTCGAAGTCTGCCAGAAAAACAGCCTTCGTAGCAACTTCGACCCTTTTGTTTGAAGCCTTACAGATATCCAATCTTTCATCCAATGCCTTGAATTTGTATAAAAACATAGCTAATTTAACGTGGTAGAGGCTCCTGGACTCGACTCGCATTCATGCTTCTTGAATTGAGCTCCAAAATAGGCTTCACAAACACGTTTCCAGACTTAGCCATTTCCAGGCAGTTTCCCAGTTTTGGCATAGCCTTTTGATGAGGTTCAAAAATGGTCTTCTAGACTTCCTATCGAGCTCTCTTCCACTTCAATATGTAGAGGGACACTCCAGCTTCAAAACAAGTCATTAGTCTTCAATTTCCATCTAGCCAATTGTATGATATGAATATCCAAAGTAGGCACCATGAACTGTTTTTACACAAACAATAGATTAGGTCGACCTGATCCTATGAGGTCGACCTAATCCTAAATGAGGTCGACCAGACCCAATATGAGGTCTACCTAATTCTAAATGAGGTCGACCTAATCCTAACTGAGGTCGACCGGAAAGTGCAAGTCACCGTGACATGCATATCACCCTAGTCACACCCTAATTTTTATCCACAATTTAGTTGACCTGTCGGATTATCCATTGTTGGAATACAGCCAACATCGTTTAGATATCTCAATTGTACAATGCTTTTACTAATTTGCAATTGGCATAACATTTGATCTTCATGAGCAAGACAAACTTTCTAACGATTTAATTTATAAAAAAATGTGATTTTTTTTCAAATTTGCTCTCTTTGATATTGTTTCTTATCAAACAAAACACACCGTTGAACAGCGGCGGATCCAGAACACAGAAGAGCACTGGGACGAGTTTCATTAGAAAATTGAATAGTAAAAAAACATAATGATTATAGTTATTTTCCAATGTAAATTGTACACGACGGTATTTTAATTTAGTGATGCATCAATAATGGAGCCTACATCCATACCAATAGTATACAGAGTTTCAAATAAAATAATTGAGCAATCGGCAAGAAATTCATCGCTCATTTTGCTGAGCAAATCAGTTCTCACATATTTCATTGTTGAAAAGGTTCTCTTCGTAGTAGCTGTTGAAACGAGCAGCATTAACACTAGACAAATCAATCGACTAATCAATTGGCATTGTGTGTCAATTCGTGCATCCACCAACTGCTCTAGTAAGTTTTCAAGGGAACAAACCTCATCTTTCTTTTAGTCTTTTACGTTTTAAACTTTTAAAATTTTAGGTTTCATTGTTTTTTTTATATGCATAATCTTTGGGGCTAAGATTTAAAAGCTAAATTTAGAGTAGTGATTTGAATATGGTCATCTGAATCATTTTTTTAATTATACCCAATTTTATTATAAAATCACACTAAGCCGAATGTCTAAAATCGAAAAATTCACAAGAACTATACTAACTACGAATCCAGAGGAGGGCTGGGCCGGGGCCCGGGGTGGCCACCCCTGGATCCGCCACTGCCGTTGAAACTCTATTAATCCAGGCCAAGTCCACTAATCCATGTTTTATATGTTGATTGGCTGAGAGTTAAGAGTTTGGACAAGTCCACTAATACATGTTTCCAATTTCCATGTATGGGGTTAATAAACTATGAATACGATAGGAAGCTGTACTACTTCTGTTTTTTATTAAGAAACCCACTTGGTTATTGTCTTGCTAGATTAGTTAGTGGAGATTACTTTTCTATATATATTTTATAAACCCAACATGCTAAGTAATAAGACTAGAAAAGACCAAAATCAACAAGTTGAGGGGACAATTATATTACTATAGGTACATATATATCTTCTCTAAATCTTATATTCGGTGGAGTTTTGCATGATTTTTACCATTTGAAATTTCTTTGCTTCTCCTTAATTGTAGGTAGGGTATAAAAATAATTATATCTTGACTTGAAAATTAAAAAACAGTTTTCTTTTCTTAGAGTCCGTTTAGTATTGTTGCTTGTTTTTGTTTTCTGTTGTGTTTTATAAAATCACAGAAACCAAGGAGAAAAATCATGTTTAGTTAGGTTTTTAATTTTTGTTGTGAAACAGAGTTACACAACCAGGCCCAAATCAGAGAAACAATAAATTATTGCTTTGGATCTGATTCGTACACATGTTTAACACGGGATTTCTACTGGTTGTGTCATTGATTTCATTAAACTAACCCCCAGTTCAAGCCCCCTCACATACGAAAATTATGTTTATTTTTTTCAACCCCTCCACAAGGCCCCAACCCTACTCGCCATTCAACCGTTCCATTATCTTTTCAGCCACAAAAACTCGCCCACCGCTGCTCATCCTCTTCCTCTCCGAGAGGAACGACGATCCCTCTGGCATCCCGGTCTTGCCGCCGCACCCGCCGCCAGCGCTCATCCTTCAAGATCTTCGCCGCATTAGACCCCGTCGTCCGCTCATTCCCCCGCCACACCATCTCGCCGCTCGCCTCTCTGTAGGTTTCGTGAAACCGTGAAGTTTGGGACTTCTCACTTCCTACGAACAGTTTTTTTTTCGAGAATTCGCTTTTGATCATCGAATGAAGCATGGGATTTAGTTTGGTTCTTTCCTTTAATTTCTGGAACTCGAACGGGTTATGCAGAATTTGGTCCATTCCCTTCACTTCTGCTCTTGGTGGCATTTTCAAGCTCCAAAGAATTGTCATCAAAGAATGCCACCTGCTCTTGCCAACCGAGCCCAATTTTTCTGGGATTGTGATCATATTTAGTTACTAATAACAATCGCTCAATTGATGTCAAGTATGCTGATTTTTGGTTTTTAGTTTTTACTGAGAAGTAACTAAACGCGTTTCTGTTTTTTGTTGTGAGTTTTTATAATTTCTCATATTTGCCAACTAAATGGGTTTGAGTTGTCTGTTTTTTTCTTGTTGTGGTTGTGCATGTGTTTGCACAACATCAATATAACCACAACAACAACAAAATAATACTAAACAGGGCCTACTTTTGGCAGTGGACGAAAATAATTGGGAGAGAGAAGAGATTAGGGAGAATAAAATAATATAAAAGATGTTTAAATTTTTTAATTATATATAAATATGTTCCTTTATTATAATTGTAAGTTTCGCTACTCGTTAAAAAAAAAAAAATGGCAACAAACGCTCTCTTCTCTCTCATCGCGGCGTTAGCGAGAATAGTAGGGTTTCTCGCCGCTCCGATGGTGGCTATCGTCTCCCCTAGGGTTTCTAGAGTGTATCCCAGGGAGATTCCAGCGGATATTTGCCGCCTGGTAAAGGAATTAGCAATTGTCCCCTCGTTGTTGGAGGGTTGGAATAGAATTCTGAATCGGGTGATACTCGATCTGGAGAAATCAAAAGCTATCCCGTTGTGGATGTCGGCGAATTTCCCTCGGGCTCTTCCGTGGGTGCCTGCAGATAATTATCAAAAGAGTTTCAAATCAAGTAAAGTCTTGGTGAAGAGTAATCGCCAAGAGGTGTCATGGAATACGGCTCTATTGAGGCCGGTAGAGATGTGGTATTATTTAATCACAGAAGCCCAGGGCGACATTCAGCCTGGGAATTGTATTGCGGTTGCTGAGCAAGAACGAGTCCAGTGTGGGATCTCGAAGAACAATAGGAGTAACTGTCTACAAGAGATAGGTATGCCTATAATGGTTTGGAGTTTATTTTCCTTTTTGTATCGATTGTGGTTTTACCCATTTATTGGGATTTTGAGAGTGTGGTTCTTGAATTGGAGTGAGCAGATCATGGAGAACCAGGGCAATGCCAAGATGGTGACTCAGGACTCTCAGAAGGTGCAGCAGATGGAGGAATCCTTGACAGTGGGGAGTCAGACAGGGCTAGAGAGCCATGGTGATCAGAGTGTGCCGAAGATGCAGAATACAATGGCGGTGGTGATTGAAAATGAAGAGACTCTGAGGAAGCAGCCCAACAGGGGAGCTATGGTGCTGGGATTGAAAGACGATACTATGAGACAGGGTATGGGTATGGTTGCTGGGAATCAGGTAGTGGAATTTACTATGGAAGATGTTGCTTCAGGGATGCAGGGCGTTAAGTTAAGCCTGTTGGGCAGATTGTTTATAGAGAATCCCCCCAGTCTGGCTGTTATTCATAAGATTGTGACGGGGGCTTGGAACTGTAAGGTTCAAGTGATGGAGGCGGAAATGGGTTTACTGCAATTCTTCTTTTACAATGAAGCAGATCGGGATTGGGTGTTGCAGCGCTCTCCTTGGCCAGTGAGGGATAGGGTGCTCCATCTTCAGCAATGGGCGCCAATTACCAGGGAATTGGTGAATTCGTTCGAGATGATTCCTTTCTGGGTGCAGATGTGGAATATCCCCTCTCATTGCCGGACTGTTGCGTTTGGCAGAAGAGTTGCAGGAGCAAAGATTGGTGAAGTTCTAGATGCTGGAGTTTTTGCTATTAAAGGTGAACCGAGTCATTTCCTCAAGGCAAAGGTTAAGGTGAATGTGTTTGAGCCTCTCCGATCTCAGGTATATGCTAGTAATGACCAAATTGGCGAGTTTTGGGTTACACTGGTGTATGAGTTCTTACCATTGTTCTGCTATCATTGTGGTCGGCTGGGGCATAAGGCTCCGCATTGCTCATTCCCGGATCCTGAAGGGGAAGAGCATTATGGCCCGGAATTGTCAACTGACATTATAGGGCATCGCTTGGATGAACAAACAAAGATCCCGGTTCATCTGTTACCGGCAATGCACAAGACAGTTTGGCTGAATCCTGCAGTGAAGGTGGGCGGAGTTGGTAATATACCGGGCAACGCCACAAGTTTGGATGCGGAAGGGGGGGAACAGATGCAGGGAGGGCGAGTTCCCAAAGGTATCGTTGAGGCTCAAGTGGCGCGGTTGGAGCAATCTGGATATCAGAAACATGCAAGGGGGCATCTAGGGGGGTCCAGGATTGAGGATTCTGTTCAGGGTCTAAAGAAGCAGATGGGGCGCGGACTGCCTCAGTGGGATGGATATGCACATGGGTTTGGACATGGGAGTCGAGGTCGTGGAGCTGGTAGATTATTTCGGGCACGAGGGAAGCCATATCATGGAAGAGGACAGACAGGGCCTATGCTGAATAGGGCTGCTGGACAGTATCAACCAACTGGGGGGGTGACTGCAGGTCGCGATGGAGCTGCTAGAGGTGCTCAAGAGCAGCCAATGGGGCTGCAAAAACATAATAAACATGATGATGTTGTGTTTATGCAGGAGCATGGAACAGGAGGCACTAATGAGGAGCAAGTAAAGGATACAAATGGGACTGTGTTCAAACAGGTCTTCAAGCTGTCACTTGCTGAAGTGGACATTCCAGGGGAGAAGAAGCGAGTAGCTAAGGAGGTGGAGGGGCTTGCTGAAGATCCTACTCCGCCTAAGAAGAATTGCATAGATGGCAAAGATACAGTCAATGAGAAGAAGAATTCGGTGGAGGTAGCCAGCCGGGAGTGGCCCCCAAAAACAAAATGAAGATTTTGGGATGGAATGTGAGGGGCATCGGACCTTCCCTCACGTTTCAATCGTTGTTAGGTCTGTGTCGGTCTAATAAGCCAGACATTGTTTTTTTGTCGGAAACAAGGTCGTCTAGGCGTGTAGTAACCCGTCGTATGCGGGGGTTAGGATTTTCGTCTTTCTTTTTAGTTGATGCGGTTGATGCTTCTGGAGGGTTGGCTGTGGGCTGGTCGAGTGAGGTTTCTGTTTCTATTTTGGACAATTCTTCGTACTCTGTGTCTTGTGGTGTGAAAAAGTGCATGAATGGAAATGGGAGTGATGAGTTGGATTATGTTGTGGTGGGAGTCTACCTCTCTTGTCATCCTTTAACTCGTGCACAGCAGGTTCATGATTTGATTATATATTTGCAGGGAATTTCTGTCCCGTATGTAATTATAGGAGACATGAATTGTGTGATGAATGCAGGAGAAAAACAAGGGGGCTTGCCATGGGATCCCTTGAAGTCTATGGCGGTGAGGGATATGATGGATACTCTGGGGTTGATGGATTTAGGATATGTAGGTCCTCCTTTCACGTGGACTAATAGAAGGATGGAACCGGCTACTGTTTCTGAAAGACTTGATAGGGCCTTAGGGTCATTATCTTGGATTGGACGGTTTCCACAAGCATTTGTTAAGCATTGTACTGACATGGGGTCAGACCATAGAGCTATTCTGTTAGCTGATAAGCCGTTTGCCAGGGCATCCAGGCCTTTGTTTCGATTTGACGCAAGGTGGGTGGAGAACCCAGAAGTGCGTTTATTTGTTAAATATGTCTGGGAAGAAACATTGGTAGGATCTCCGATGTACAAGTTATGGATGAGGTTGAAAAAGCTTAGGCATCTCTTGTATGATTGGAGTAGAGCAGGTACTACCAATTCCCAAAGGAATATCCGTATACTAGAGACTGAGATTGAGGCTGTACGGGCCGAGCAACATGTGGATTGGCAGCGAATAGGTGAGCTGGAAACGGAACTCAACAGGCAGTGGGCTGCAGAAGAGGTATACTGGAGGCAAAAGTCTCGTGTGCATTGGCTTAAAGAAGGAGACCAAAATTCCTCATACTTCCATACTGTTACCCGAACAAGACGTAGGAAGAATGATATTCCAGGTCTGATTAATGCGGCGGGGGAATGGGTGACAGATGAAGGGGGGAAGGCTGCGATAGCTGGGGGTTTTTATGAATCCCTTTTCCGCTCAAAGTGCGAGATCAATGACATGGATTTGAGGCTCCAACCATTGCCCATGGATTCGGTGGTCACGACGGAGATGAATGATCAGTTAATGGCACCGATTTTGCCAGAAGAGATTAAGAGAGTGGTTTTTTCAATTGGGGCAACTCAGGCTCCTGGGTCGGATGGATTCACAGGAAAGTTCTATAGAGCGTTTTGGGACATCATTGGAGAATCAGTCACTGAGGCTGTCCAGTATTTCTTCTGTAAGGGGAGGATGCTGAAAAGTTTCAATCATACTTGGTTGACGTTGGTGCCTAAAGTGGAGGCTGTAGAATCAATGAAACAGATTCGCCCGATTAGTTTATGTCAAGTGTTTTATAAGATTATATCTAAAATTTTGGCAGAAAGAATGGCGATCCATTTGCCAAAACTGATCTCACCAGAGCAAAATGGATTTGTCAGAGATAGGCAAATAGTTGACAATATACTAATTGGACATGAGATTATGCATTACCTGAAAATCAAGAAGCAGGGGAAGAAGGGCTATATGGCTTTGAAGGTTGATATGGAAAAGGCCTATGATAGAGTCGAATGGCCCTTCTTGTTTGCTGTAATGAGAAAATTGGGTTTTAATGCACAGTGGATCCATTGGATTAGAGAGTGCATTTCGTCAGCTACGTTCTCTGTGCTGATGAATGGGAATCCTAGTGGGTATTTTCGCTCTTCCCGAGGGTTGAGGCAGGGGGATCCCTTATCGCCATTGTTATTTGCTATTTGTACGGAAGGGTTTGCAGCATTATTGAAACAAGCAGTGATGAATAAGAGATTGACAGGAGTTAAGGTGAATCCTCGAAGTCCAAGTGTGTCACACTTGTTCTTTGCTGATGATTCATATTTGTTTCTCAAGGCTTCAGTCCCGGAATGTCAAAACTTGCTAAATATTCTGCAGGAATATCAGGATTTGAGTGGGCAAAAGGTGAATCTACAGAAGTCTGCAGTTTGCTTTAGTCGAAATTTAGATCAGTTGGATAGACAACAGATGGCGGATATCTTGGGGGTGGGAGCTGTTGGGGTGCAGGACAAATATTTGGGACTCCCCTCATTAATCCATAGGTCTAAGACTGAGACGTTCCGATATTTGGAGGAGAAACTTCTAGCTAAGTTAATGGGATGGAAACAAAGGCACTTATCATGGGCTGCGAAGGAGACATTGTTAAAAGCTGTAGCTGCAGCGCTACCCATCCATGTGATGTCTTGTTTTTTGTTGCCGGTAACCCTTTGTCGGAAATTGGATAAGCATATGGCTAGATTTTGGTGGGGTTATACTACTGAAGGGAATAAGACGCATTGGGTGTCCTGGAGGAACTTATGTAGGAGTAAATTTGATGGAGGTTTGGGATTTCGGAAATTTGAGGATTTCAATCAGGCTTTGTTGGCTAAAGTGGCCTGGCGGATTCTGCATGAACCAGATTGTTTATTGGCTCGGGTTTTAAAAGGAAAGTATTTTGCTAGAGGAAATATTTTGGATGCTAGAGCGGGCTCGCGGCCCTCTTGGGGTTGGCGAAGTATTCTGTGGGGTCGAGAGCTGTTGTGTAAGGAGTTATATCACCAGGTAGGGTCGGGTGAGTCTATCCGGGTACTGGGAGACACTTGGGTTCCGGGGATGGCTGGCAAGGAGTTGCCTATTTTGGATTCTGCGCCTGTGGATGAGATGTCCAGGGTGTGTGATCTAATTATTCCGGGAGAGGGGACTTGGTGTGAGGAATGTCTGGACCAGTGCTTTCCGGCAGAAGTTAAGCAGCAGATAATGAGTATTCCGCTGCCGAGACTTCCAGTGCAGGATAAGCTGATTTGGGCTAAAGAGGGTGATGGGTGTTATTCTGTTAAGTCTGGGTATCATACTGCGATGCAGATTCAGCGGAGCTTACAGGGATGGAAGGAGGAAGTGTCCTTTTGGGATATGAGTTTTTGGAAGAAGATGTGGAGCTTCCCAATTCCGCCTAAGTTGAAGTTTTTTCTGTGGGAATTGATGCGGCGTATTTTGCCTACTAGGGAAGCATTGAGCGAGAGGGGTATTTTGCCTACTATGGAAGAATTGCGCGAGAGAGGGGAGGTAGAGCTCCTGCAATGCCCGGTTTGTTGGGGTCTTCTGGAAACTATGGAGCATCTTTTTCTGACCTGCAGAGTGGCGGAGGAGCTTTGGATGCGGAGTGGGTTGGTGGTGGAACGGCAAGGCTTGGATAGCATGAATATAGCGTTGGTCCTTAGAAGGATGATGGAGCGGATTACTGAGCCGACAAGGATCATGCAGATAGTGGCGCTATTATGGAGAATATGGAAATCTAGGAACTGGGTGGTTTTTGATCATTTCCAGTATTCTGCAGAAGTTTTGCTTCGTCAGTATCATATGCAGGTTAGGGAATGGGTGGACTTGTTGGGTTCTGGGGGGGTGGTGCAGTCTCAGTTAGTGCGCGGGAGGGTAGAGACGAATGTTGCTATGCCGTATGTTTGTTATGTGGATGGTGCGGTAAAGGTGGGGTCCCATGCTGCGGGTGGGATGGTGGTACAGGATCAAGCAGGGACTGTGTTGTTTGCACAGGGTTTTATGTATGCAGGTTTGACAGATCCATTTGTGAGTGAACTAATGGCTTTCCGGGACGCGATTCATTGGTGCTCTGTGAAGGGTTTAACTGAAGTCTCGTTCTTGGGTGATGCGCAAGTTGTTATTTCCAAAATCAAGGATCGGGTAACTTGGGACGGGCGGGGTGGTGCGATTTTAGACGAAATATCCCAACTCCGGGAGCTATTCACAGGTTTTTCAGTTGGGTTTCGAGGCAGGGAGAACAATCGAGCGGCTCATTTGGTAGCCAAAAAGGCTCTTTCTTTGTTTCCTGCAGGTGTTTGTGGTTTTGATTTTCGGATTTGGTTATTATGTGGGTTGTAAACATTGGTATCTATTTCTCTTGGTAATGCAAGTGAGCTTTTGGCAAAAAAAAAACAATATGTTCCTTTATTTTATATTCTTTGGAATATCATTTAATTTCATGATCAATCTGTAACCTTTTACTAATATTTTTTTATTATGTACTCTAAATAAACTGGTAGTCTGGTATTGTATTAGATTATTTTGAGTTCTTTTTGTAACATTTCTTCAAACTACTTCTCATAGATAATTTTTTTTTATGGTTATAGCAATACAGCTACAAATTGACGAGTACTAATTCACCAAAAAATATAGTTACAAATTACTGTTTAATAGAAGAAAATAAAATTTTGTTTGATGTTAGTATTTAATTAATAGGATCTTGTTGTAGAAACTCCTGAATGTTACCGCGTACAGAGTCCGGTTATGCATGGATCATATAGCTTGGTTTACAAACTATATATCACTCATAAAATCATAAAAGAAACAAGTGTGATGTTGATAATCACTTTTATGTTCTTAATATCTTAGTTTTTTATTTCATTTTTATTTTAGCTATATTCTTAGTTAGGGTATGCCTACTATGACATGCATGTCACTGTGACATGGACTTTTCGGTCGACCTAATCCTGAAGGCGGTCGACCGAATTGACTAATTTGGGCAGCACGAGAAAGCATCGCGGTCGACCTCAAAGACCTCCTAGTCGACCGTTCTTAGCTTAAGTTGTTATTTTTGGTTGACCAGAATAAACCTCGGTCGGCCATTTCGTTGGCGTCAGAAACAACATGGTCGACCGTAAAGGTATATAGGTCGACCACTTGATGGCAATCATTAACAACATGGTCGACCAGATAAAGAAAGAGGTCGACCAGATAGACGAT